CTGTAACAAATCATCATTTCTCAGTCTGCGTCCACTAGAGGCTAAGACTGTTGTGTCTTCTTAGTGTGTATCTGATCTGTCTCCATTTTCCTCTGCATTTTTGTTGGATGATAACAGGTTCTTGGTTGATTTGTTCCCAGGGTTACCTGTTGTTTATGCTTTTTGGCTATCCTATCTTCCAGGATCAGGCCAGCCAAGGTGGAAGTTGTTGCTAAAAGTCAGCACTTTCCATTTGGAAGCGCTACTCTTTGACACACTGAGTTTCTGATTAGACATTAGTGTTGAAAATATCAATTTCGCTGGATATAATGATCTAAGCTTATTTTCACAGTGATATAAGAGTAATGAATGGATGTCTTGCCTTATTCGCCCTTCATCTGACATTCAAAAAAGGCGAATACACGAGTTTGTTATGTTTAAATGTAATAAGAGGAAAGAAATCTTGTCGAAAACGAATGCATTAAATGTTAGAAGATGATGACGTAAACTTTAAATTAAGGAAAACAAAGCGGGATAACATGGAGAGGATTTTTGTATCATATGGTAAAATTAACTCCATGGTAACGAGTGAGAGAGATCGTATAAATTGTTTTTGTACAAAAAAATCTGATTTTTTTGTTATTTATTACCACCAAAACTTCTTCTATAGAAAGCAAATGCACTAGTATATCTTTCGGCGAAATTTCGTCAGACCTTGTAGATTATATCGAAGGATGCACCACAATCTATGTGATTATCTACTGTATGTTGCAGTAAGGATGAACTAGTGGTTGTATACTTTATTTTGCTTACCAAATTTAAGGCTTACTACTGAGTTTGGGATATGTCGCTTTTGATAAACACCCTATGTACTCTGTTTCAAAACAGCAAGTATACGCATAAATTTTTACAAAGAATTGAGCAGTCGAAGTAATATTGGTGGATTTAAATAGTGGCAACATACAATGTTTTCCTTAGTGACTCTATCAACTAGTTTTTTTAAGGTCCTCACTCGCAATACTATACCTAAATTCTAAGTTTATATGCATCAGTTTCTAAGGTTTCTTACTGCATCCTGTATTTGTTTCATATAATTTACTATCAGCTACAACAAAGTATATTCGATATCAATTCACTATGGAAGTTGATTGGATTGATTGGATCGAAGTGCTCGGTCTCAGGTTGACATGTCGGCTTCTTGTGTAGATGCTTCGACCGGTTGCACAAAAGCTGGCTCCTGTGGCCCAAGTGGTTTAGTGGATAACGCTTTGGCATTTGAAACTATGGGTACTAACTGGGTTTGAGCTTCGAGGCTCGGTGGGAACATCATTGCTTTCAGTTGTCTAATTTCTTCATCAACACTGTCTTTGCTGAGGAAGAAGGAATTACACAGTGAATAAATTATTTCTGACAGAATAACTGATTTCAACGTAGTACTCTGCACAGATGTCCAGCAGTTCAAGCTTTCACACTCTCTCCATTTATCACACAAAGCAAGAGGAGAGAGATAAGAGAGATTCATAAGACTGAGAGAGAGAGTGATAATAAACAGAAATATGAAGCAACAAGAATAGTAATATCGAGGAACAATAAAATTTTATTGGGTATAACAAATCACAAACATTGGATGCATCATGGAGAAAGATTGTGAGCCATGTCACCAGTTGTCTACAGCCCTCGTTGGCTTTTACCAACAGGACGTCTACGTCTAGGTGCTGTTTGTTTAGGAATAGAGCTTTGTGCTGAATACATTCTTTCCAAATGATCATATAACTTATTTCAAAAGTGGTAATAAACCCAACTTTGAACCTTTTTAAAATGAAATGAAATAAAATGATAAATCAGAATTTACTGTATAAATAATTTTAATTGCAACTTGTGAAATCTCGCACCTGGCGATCGCTCAAGTGAAACGCAAACGCAAAACAACTAGTGGGTTGTCACTATGAGGGTGGCATGGAGAAGATCCTGCAAGAAGGAGATGAGAGATTATAAGCAGTAGTTGGTCTAGCTAAGGAGGACAGCACCAAATAGAACAAAACGCAGATGTGTTGGTGAAGCCCTATGTTGCACACGGAATCCAAGGGAACAGTAATAATAATAATAACAGCGTTTGTACGCCAAGTTACTCTGTAAATATACTGGACCTTTGCTTTCTGAGTGTAACATAGGATATCAAGCTTGAGAGTAGGTAATTTAGCAGAGGTAATGGCATTTTTCACAAGCTGACTTCCAATCTTTCATCTTTATCGGAATCGTTACTGACTTATCAAGGTTTAGGACTGTATCGAACCATATGAATAGTCGGCGAGCTTTCTATGAATGAACAGCAAACGCATAATCACTTAATAATTATAATCATTCGAATCCGACATCTGCATTTTATTTATTCTAGTTCTGCTTTCTGCCATCCTTTTAAGATGGGTCCACGAGTGCCCACAATCTTTCATCTCCTCCTCACCACAAGATCTCATTCATGTCATCCACGTACAGACGACTCACTCGTCGCTTCTCATTCGGATTCCACTCGAGGTCCTGGCGTGCGAAGTCATTCGGCTGCCTTCTCAATGTATACCCGGTCAATCCATCTCCATTGCCTTTGACATATTTCATACATTTTATAGTGTGCGAAAATGAAAGTCATGCTTCACACTTACTAAGATTATTCAATGGTGCACACGCCAATATTGATTTCACTATGGAACATGAAAGTGACGGAAAGTTTCACTTCCTCGACATCGCCATGGAACGCCTAGAAGGCGGTAGTCTTCAAAAGTCAATTTATCGAAAGCCCACATGGAAAGGACAATACTTGCATTTTAACAGCTTTTGTTCAAATAGCTTTAAACGGGGTCTAGTCAAGACTCTGTACTATAGAGCGAGGAGAATATGCTCTATAGAGAAACTAGAGGAGGAGTTTGAGTTCCTTGAAAAGATATTGAAGAGAAATGGGTATCCTCAAAAGTTCATCAACAAGTATGGAAGATCTGAAGTCACAAATGTAAAACAAATCACAGTGGGTAAAAAGCCAGTCTACGTTCAGCTTGACTATAAAGGTGAAAACATTGCAGCGATGATCAACAGAAGGCTGAGTACATCACTAGCCATAGCCTATCCTGCAGCCAAGCTCGTTCCCGTCTATCGAACAACTTGCTTTTTGGTGCAATCAAAAATCAAAAGATATCCTTCTCATGTTACCTCCAACTGTATATACAAATTTACGTGTATCTGCGGGAGCAGTTACATTGGAAGAACAGAAAGAAGGGCATATCTACGATTTTCTGAACACGTACCAAAAAGCTTACGTCTAAAGGGAACAAATGCTCTAAACAGTGCCATCGCCAGGCATCTCCTCGACACGGGTCATGAGGTGGACGTCGAAAAGTCGTTCAACATTATCAATAGGCGAAAGAGCTCAATTCTCCTTAGGTTTGCTGAAGCGATTTCTATCAAACGCTTGAAACCTGATCTATGTGTTCAGAAAGAAGCAGTTATTAGTCTTTCCTTGCCTTGGTAACTGGATGCCTTTTTTCTCTCATCTGATTACGTAATCTTTGTCTTTAACCTCACCCTCCCTTTTATAATCTGTAATTTTGCTTGTCTCTTGTTTCTATGATTTGAGCTCAACTCAGTTCATTGTTACCTAACTTACTAGTCACTATGCATCTAACGCATATCTCATCTTTATTACGTAACTCTTTTACCATTTTCTGCATACATTTATTTTGTTTTAACTTGAACTGCCTGTGTGAAAACTATATAAGCGCAATCTTCTGAGCACTGTTTACAAATTGTGGAATTTTCTGTCAACTGACAACATGTAAAATTTGCAAGTATGTTCAAACATGTCTGTACTTAAACCTCATAATTTATTTAGGCTGTAAGCAGCTGATGAGAAGCCAACGAAATGAATGATGGTACCACATTATTCTGCTAAAACTGTAGTTCTTGCTTTGACATATTTGTTGGGCAATAGACTCCTGGTTGGTTTATTCTCAACTAGAGTTTCTTGTTTCTAATTTTTTCTGGCTGGCTGAGTGGCTGGCCATTCGATCTTCAGTAGAGAGTCGGCGAAGTGTCTAGCTGTTCATAAAAGTCTTCAAACTGTTAGAAATCCTTTTCATGACACACTGGCCAAGTTTCTGACCGACTTGACATTGGCGTTAAAAATTCGAATGTTCTACCATATGCTGAGTGAAGCAGAAGATTTCCAAATGGTTTCAGGTTGATGAAAGCATATCTCGCCTTTCCGATTCTGACTGGCTGTCTGACTTGGACATCTTCATACGTTCCGTCTTTGTTTGAAACGATGCTACCTAGCTAGATATTAAGTGAAGGAGGCAACCTCTGTTAAATCACTCTCCCTTTGGTGGTGACTGGTGCTGTTGCTGTTGGTTGGTTGGTTGGCTATCTTCTCAGAGAAATTGCCTAGAAACAGTCAAATAGGAAGTGAAGCTTACTAGTCGCATATTTGACTACCTGATTACTTAAAAATGTATTTGTTCACCTTGAAAATTTTTTCAAAATGACTCTTGAATCAGTAATACAAAAACCACCGTTTCTATCATAGAAGAATGGAGCTTTTTGTGATCTCTTGAAGTTTCTGTCTCACCCAATTGAATATATATATATGCGTATATTAGCCTAGACTCCATCCAGACTAAAATAAAATTTCACTTAAAACGATAGTTGTACAATTCAAGAAAGGAAACAAAATAGATGACAGAAAACGTGAGTACCTGAGTGCATCCATGCGTGCGCGTGTATGCGTCAATAAAATTCTAAACATTTATGCAGACACACATGCATATATATGTATATACGCTGCTAAGCTAGCCCTTACTTAATGAAAGCATTCTCTAATTTTTTGATTACACTGAATTGATTTTTCTTATCATCAGTCAGATATCTTACATACATCATATGACTCTTCACTTGATTCGCATGATTTCTATAGACAGGCTGTGTGTAAAAGCCTCTATTGGTTAACTACTAAGGCGGAGTGTGCGGTGACTGCATAACAATATATGAAGTAGTCATAAACACCCTGGCAGGCATTTAAAAAACAGGAGTTACTGCGCTTTTCTGAGAGCGAGCGAGCGAGAGAGAGAGAGGTATCATTTATGCATGGTTGTGCTCAAATTGATTCAGAAAGAACACGATTATGATGCAGAGGTTATATTTACCTGGAGATTACAAAAGTTGAGTAATATTCTTGAATATACGGATATTTTAAGAAAATTGCATGAGTTAAATAATTTCAAGCATAAGGATTATGTGATCAAATGGAACAGTATGTTTAATCCAGTGTTTTATATAAAATATGAGTGTTAATAATAATAATTATTATTATTATTTTTACAAATGTCTACTTCTCACTCGGCGCCCAAATATCTTAAAACTATTCTGTCATATCTTGACTACACTTCATTTGATTTATTTTGCAATCGAATTAAATTAACACAGAAACTATGTAATTGGCACAATCATCGTGTTTCCACTCTCCGTTGTCTGCAACCGAATGCGTATCCTAAATCCTTAGCTGTTCAGTCACCTGACAACTTCAGCAGGTCAAATAAATCAGCTCAATTTTCAGAAAGAAGACAAAGTAATAAGTTTGACAGGGTGCTTCAACTAAACTCTAATCCTAAAACACCATAATTTTGAAAATATACGTCTAATCATAAAATTCTAGTAAAGTATAATTATATTTTAATAGTTTACACACAATGATAAGTTTTGTTATTGGTAATATTTCGAGCAAAATTACTGCCCGTGTTCACACCACTGTTGGAATTGTTTTATTTATAAAACAATTGTAGTCGTATGTGTAAACGCTTCCTGTTTACAGATAGTGAGTAATCCTTTTCTCCTTTCATGGTTATGTGTTCTTGATGAACTTTGTTGGGTAGCTATTTTAAATAAGATTGTGTCATATGCAATTTTTGTTTTATTTTACTCGTATTGCTAACTGTATTATCAGTATCATGTTGTGCTGTAGTTGTGTATTTTAATCTGGGTTTCACATTTTATTTAACTATTATTATAATTATTGTATTATATAATTGCTATATGATAATAGTTATTTTCCCCTCTACGCCTACTAGTATACACATTCTACCTATACGCTCGCCATCGCCTAGATTATATAAACACTTGAATGGATTTATTTTTAGATTTGAATGAGAAGATTTGTAGCTCAAGTGGATGATTTTGATATAAATGTGTTCTCGGAGTTGGATAATTTCTTTGCGAAGCTTTCATTGTCCTACTAGGCAACATCTTCAGCTCATACTTTAATTTGATGTAAGCTGTCATATTTCTTCACGAGTTTATTAGTCATCTCTTCTGGTTGCCTTCAATGTGATTGGTTGTTTCTGTGTGTTTTCACACACTTTAGGTAGGCTAATTTTATTGGTATTAGTGTTGGTTGTTTCCTTGAGCTGAAGTTTGACCCTTTGTGTGAGATTTCCTTCTTGCCGATTGGTAAATTTTGTCTGTGTTTATTGGTTGACACTTCATTGGAATAACAGACAGGCTTCTTAAAATTCTCTAGAATTCTTCATGTTTCCTCTGTCTGATATTTGAACGCTGGTCGTGCCAGTCGAACTGATGTCCGTGGTTTTCTGTTTGCAGTGTGACAATATGAGAGGATGGATGTCATGTCTTATGTCGGCTAGTTTATGTTCGTGGATACGAAGACGAAGGGGACGTCTACTTTGGCCACTGTAGTGTTTTTTGCCGTCGTTGTAACTTATTTTGTACATGATGCTGGCTTTATCTTCTTTCGGTGTTGAGTCTTTTGGTTGACACAGAACCGAGTGATGTAATTTTGTTTGTTTATGTGTGACGCCAATTCCTAAAGGTTTGGAGAGTCTTGCTTTGAATTCTGAGATGTCCTCTATATATGGTAGGGAGATTTTCTTTGTGGTCTGCTTGGGGGCTTTTGGTTTGATAGGTTGGCTTGAGGGTATATGTCTCTTGATGAAGTTCTGTGGGTATCCATTCTTTTTGGAGATGTCCATGAGATATTTCTCTTCAATTTGCATCATGGTAGGAGTGCTGCGATGAGTACTGGCCCTTCTGGATAGTGTTTGTATGCAATTCCTTTTGTTTGTTATTGGATTGTTGCTGTTGTAATTCAGGATTTAGTCTGTGTGAGTTGATTTTCTATAAACTTGAGTTTCTAATTCCCCTGTGGTTGTTCGCTTGGCTAAGACGCTAAAAATGGGATTTGATTCTTGGATTCCTCTTCTATTGTGAATTTGATGTCGTTGAAGACGTTGTTTATTACGTTGTGAGTTTTACCTAACTCGTTTCGTTTGATTATTACAAATGTGTCGTCTACGTAACATATCCAAATTTTGGGTGCGATCTTATAGTAAGATTATGTTTTCGAACCTTTGTGTCGCTGCTTCTGCAATTAAACCTGATATTGGCGATCTCATGGATGTTCCTTTGACTTGTTCATATATTTGGCCACTTAACTGGAAGCACGTTGTTAAGTATTCCATCCAACTTGTATGTTACATTTTGGATTGTTCTGGGAGGTGTTCATCGTTGCTGACCAGTTGCTCCATGATCTCTTTTGCTAGTTTCTGTCCAGTTGAAGTATATCACGCTGTGACATCGAAGGATACCATTATTTCTTGGCAATCTATTTAGATGCCTCTGATTTTCTCAAGTAATTGGACAGTAGAACTGATGGAGTGACCGCAAGAATCCGCCGGATGTTTCAATTTTCTGTATAATGTTTTGGATAAAATGCATGTTGGAGTTCCTGGGAGTTATACAATTAATCACTACGGGATATTTGGCTTGTGTATTTTGGGTCTGCCGTAGAATGGAGGTAGGAATGGTTCATTGGATTTCATTCATCATTGGTCTTGTTTTGTGATCTGACCTGTTTTGATGAGCTTGTTTGAAGTTCTTCGGATGTGGTTGTCGAATGTTTGTATGAGATTTGTTGGGAGTTGTTGATATACATCCTCGTCTTTGAGTAGTTCTTCAACCTTCTTGGTGTATTCTTCTCTGTCCATGAATACTGTTGTTCTTCCTTTGTCGGCTGGTAGAATGACGATGTCCTTCCTACTTTTCAGCTTTTGAGGGCCTTTAGTTCTTTTATTGCTTTTTCTGTTTGAGCATCGGTACGATTGTTTAGCGTAACTCTTCTTGTGTTTTTGTCCTTCAGGTTTGACAATTTGAGCAGTGATTCCTTGGGAGCGAAGAAATCAGTTTGTGCAGCGTCTTCAGCGTTGTAGTTTAATCCTTTTTGAAGTAGTTGTTTTTCTCTTTTTGAGAATGGTTGTTTTGATAGCTTGACTACGCAGTCGATAAGGGCATTGTCTAGTTGTTGTTTTCTAATCTTTGCTAACTTGGCTTTAATTTATCTTTGTTATTATTATGATGATCACCTCAATTTTTATCCATTTGTTCATACCTCCGATCTTATATTTTATTAACAACATTGATTCAAATGTTTATAGCTTATACTTCATTATGCTGTGAATGTAAAACCTGATGATATCTTACCTAAATTTATCGTATTCGCTTAAATTCTGTTTTACAGTTATCATTATGGGGATATATAAATTACTGAAACAGTATTATTTATTAGATGAAAGACTTCCGAAGTAAAGGAGATCAGAATAGTAGAACACGGTCATTCTGACTGGTGGAGCACAAAAACCCAGCAGCTAAATCTAGATTATTTTGCCCTAATAATAACATCAACAACACCAACAGACCACAATAAGCATAAATGGGAAGAACCTGAAAGAAACAACCTCCTTCACCTACCTGGGAAGCATCGTCTCAACTACAGGCGGAACTGACGAGGACATCAAAGCCAGAATCGGAAAAGCAAGACAAGCTTTCATTACTCTCAAATCTGTGTGGAGGTCAACAGCAATCAGCATCAAAATAAGATCCGGATTTTCAACTCCAATGTGAAGTCAGTGCTACTATACGGATCAGAGACTTGGCGAGTCATAAAGAGCATCTCAAACAAACTTCAAACCTTCATTAACAGCTGTCTCCGCTCAATACTCAAGATCAGATGGCCAGAAAAGATCAGCAACAGGGATCTCTGGGAGCGAACCAATCAGGAACCGATTGTGAAACAAATAGGCAGAAAGAAATGGAGATGGATTGGCTGGCCATACTCTGAGTAAACCATCAAGTGACATCACTAGACAAGCCCTCGAGTGGAACCCGAAAGGGAGGCGGCGAGTTGGTCGTCAGTGCAAGGGTGACTTGGAGGAGGTCATGCGAGGAGGAGATGAAAGCATGTGGACAGACCTGGAGCAGGGTGAAAAAGTTGTCAGAAAACCGAAGTCAATGGAGGTGAGCAGCTGAAGCCCTATGTTCCTCTAGGAACTAAAGGATACAATAATAATAATAAGATAAGAAGTCTGGAGAATAGTTCAGTTATTACAATACATTTAATTACACACAACTATACTATAGCATGCGATAAGATAACAGATTTAAAATCTCTTATATAACAGAGTGGCAGGAGAAAGATTGATAACGGGAGCTTAATTCGTCGAATCCACTGACAGTATGTGCGCCTGAATTAGTCATCTCTCCCAGTAACACTAGGTAACTGTAAATATTATCTTATTAAAATTTTTTTACTTCGTTTGTAATGCTAACTGTATTATCAGTATTGTAATATTATCTAATGGCTATGTGACAACAGTTATCCCCTCCCATCTACCCCTGCTAGTAGGCACATTCCACCTATGCACTCAACACTGCCTAGATTATACAAACACTTGAATGAGTTTATCCTTGTTATTATTATTGCCATGATCACCTCAGTTGTTATCCAATAACCTACAGTTATAATTATTATTAATTTGTTTATAAGATATATCACACAGTGAAAGAGGATTATTTATAGTGGATGACGAAGTTTCGAACACACAGTTTATTATTCTATAATTACACCAGTTTTAACCACACAACTTTGAAACTTTTGATTTATAGTTTTCTTTCTTCCTTCCTATTCGTCGTTAGGGTGGTAGAATATTTCAGATGTCTGGCTGGACAAGTGTTGTACCAGTTCTACTGCACGTATTGTCAGTGGATTCGACGAATGAAGGTCCCGTTATCAATCTTTCTCCTGCCACTGTGTTATGTAAGAAATTTGAAAACTGTCATCTTATCGCATACTATTGTATAATTGTGTGTAATTATGTGTAGTGCAATAACTGAACTATTCTCCAGACTTATTGTCTTACTAGGGTCAACTAATCTAGATTTTGCTTGGTTTTTATGCTCGGCTAGTCTGACTGCCACTGTTCTACTAGTTTGACCTATGTATTTGACCTGACAATTATTGCAGGCAGGGTATTAGATAAACTAAATTGTTTTGTTTTAAAGGCTCCACAGGACTGATCCTTTAACCGACGAAGCTTGTTTCTAATTGAGTTTGCGGTTGGTTTGAATGTCAGCCACTATTATTCCCGGCTTGTTAAGAATTCTGTGTAGTTTCTCCTAGTTTCCTTCATTGTATGGAATTACTACAGGTGATTTAGATCCGTCATTGTTGGTGTTGTCGTGTGTATGTTTGACATGCAAATCGTCATTAATATTACAATTATTATTATGATTATTATAGTTATCTCTATACCTTGTATTTGAATCCAACACAGGAATGGATTCCCTGCACAGTTAAGTTAATTCCATTGAAATAATTGTATTTCAGGACACTAAAATGCATTCATATTTTCTCAATATCTGAACTGAACTATATAGATTCATGTGAACTTTGATCAAGATTTGATCAAATAATTCCAAAATAACTGGGCTCCGTGTGAGAAGTAGACATATGCGAAAAATTATATTTGTAAAATCTCAACACTTGTCTCCTCAGACATCCAGAGAATTCTACTGCCTTAACGACGAATAGGAAGGGAGAAAGAAAACTACATAACGAAAGTTTCGAAGTTGTGTAGTTACAACTGATGTAATTGTAGAATAAGAAAAATACTGTGTTCGAAACCTCGCCATCCAGTGCTTGTTGTCTTTTCAATCCAGACGAAATTATGAAGGCATTAGAACTGTGTCTACGTTCCACGTTATTTACATTTGAAGGAGTTGTTTACCGTCGAACAGAAGGCATTGGTGTGAGATCACCAGTGTCTCTGCTAGTCGCCAATCTGTTTATGCATTCATAAGAAACAAATGCAATTATGGGATACTCTAGAGTAATCTTCAAGAATGTGTTTTAAATACATGGATGATATCTTTGTCATAACCATAATAAACAATATGTAAGAGACCATTAAGTTTTTTAAAAGAGGTTGAATTCGACGAAAATGATTTGCCTTTCATGGACTGTTTAGTAAAAAGAAAACCAAATGGTAAACTTAAGATATGCGTTTTCAGAAAGCCGAAAAATTTGGACAGATACCTAAACTACTGTGATGAGAGCTGGCTGTTAGTAAAAATTGGTGGGCAGTAATTTACGTCAATGTTTATGTCCCCAATATTGGTAATGAGACACATGAGAAGAATGGCTTTGCGTAGGCGGATACAGTTAACATATAGATGATCTGACATTCAAAAAACAGCCACAAAGAGATGCAAGGTTAACTTTCGATGAGAAACAACCAATCAGAGGAGTGTGTTTTTCTGCTAACAATAATCTATAATATGTACATGAAAATCTACAAATATGTGTTGATTTCCTTAATAAACGATTTGTTTCCTGGCCCTTGTCTTCTGTTGCTACACTACTATTGAGTACATCCTTTTGCCACCAAAGTAACTGTGGCAAAGAATCTGATTAACAGAGCCAAACCTCCAGTTAATGAGAAGGAAGAGATTAACAAGGAACTAAAATTAGTTCAATCCACCCTTGAATCAAATGATTTTTCTAAAGGGTTTATGAAAAGATATGTAAAAAGTGAAGATCAGTATGCATTGTAAACTGTTGCTGAGACTTGGATTGGTACAGTGGCGATTCCTTATCATAAAGAAACATTGGATGAGATAAAGCGACTTCTTAAGAGTCGTGACATGGGAGTATATTTTGTTTGTTACATCTTGATGACTGTTTCACGACTCAAATGATTTGCTTTCAACAGTTGGTTTGTGAGGATTAGATTTGTTTCACGAGTTGATCAAGAATTGATATCATTTAGAGAACCACTGGAAACCAGCAGGGATAACTGGACAGTTGTTTCATTCTAGTTTGCGAATCCTTGTCAGTACGCACCCACTGGTATAAGAACTCGCCGCATAACCAGAAGTTCCTGACTTCCAGCTCCACTGAGTGCGTATTGCCGATGATTCCCAAAACTGGATGAAACAGCTGTCTAGTAATCGCTGGTTTTCAATGGTTCTCTAACTGATATCAATTCGTAATCAAATCATCATATGATCGGATAAAACGTTTAAAAACAAGAGAAGTCTTTTATATATATATATATATATATATATATATATATATATATATATAGGTCTCTGTTATTTTGATTTCGACTAATTTCCCTGAAGAAACTAGGGCCAGTTTGCTGAACGAAACTTTGGAATTACTCATTTCAGTTTTGTTGAGATTTTACAAATATGAACCAGATAGATGTTGGATAAAAGGTTCAGTGTGTAGGTTGCCTGATTGGCATCCTAAAGACGCTAAGAACTAATAGCTGGAGACTGATGGACACAATTTCTTAATTTACACTAGTGCTATTATGATGTTTTTATCACTGATGGTGAGAGTATCCCTCTGGAATTTAAAAACCACCACTTCTTGGGATACATAAGGATAGCCAGATGGCCAGAAAGGATCAGCAAATTGGACTTCTCGAAGCAAACCAACCGGGAACCGGTTGTAAAACGAATAGGCAGGAAGAAATGGAGAGGGATTGGCTGGCCATACTCTGAGTAAACCATCAAGTGACATCACTAGACAAGCCATTGCTCGAGTGGAGCCCGAAAGGGAGGCGGCGAGTTGGTCGTCAGTGAGAGGGTGACTTGGAGGAGGTCATGCGAGGAGGAGATGAAAGCATGTGGGCAGACTTGGAGCGGGGTGAAGATATTGGCAGAAAACCGAAGGCAATGAAGGTGCACAGCTGAAGCCCTATGTTCCTCTAGGAATTAAAGGAAATAATAATAAGGAAGGAATGATTCTTTTCTGTCACTGATATTTGATAGAGGAATATGGATACAAGCATACTTATATTCTCCATCATATTTTGTTGACTCACGTCACGATAATAAAACGTAATGTTTAGATAAAGAGTCTTTCTATCAGTACAAACTCGCCCATGTTTTGTGAGTGTTCTCCAACTCAACATATCTGTCAGTTTAAGGAGACTATATAACTTTTCGACAATACAAATTGATCTTTGTACACAGGATATACATCAATATGTATATATACTGCAAAAAAGCAAAAATTAACCTTATATTACACATTTGTATTGTTTTTGATGTCAGCTGAAGCAAAGTCTGTCCTCGAATGTCAGGTATTCTAATATTTTGGGAATTTTTACTGTACACATATGATCCCTCCAGAAATCCAACTCACTAGTGTGAGAATTTCTGAGAAATCGTTTACCGAAGTATTGTTTAGTGCTTCAAAGTTAGGTGAATTTCACGAAGAACTAGTTTAGTTTTGGATAGACGCCAGGTTGGTTCTGAAATCAAGGTAGTTCGCCACACCACTCAAATCTCTGCACCAACCTCTGACTAAACACTCCCATGGTCCTACTTTAAACGCCTATTTTCCTGTGTATGCATACATTATCAATCGACGCCTCCAAAAATTAATTTTGATCAGCGCTGTGGTTCCTGGTATTTCATAAATCTTGTACATATAACTCTGGTGTCTCCTCATTTGCGGATGAATCTTTCGCCTTTTACTAAAGATTTCCGTGGGGAGGCACAATACAATGAGTCTTGCCTCATTTTTTTCAGCTCTATCTTCGGACAGAGTATATTTGTGTGCGTCGGTGGCACAGTGGTTAGAACTCTCGCCTACCATACGCATGCTCCGAGGTTCGATCCCCTGCGGACGCACACCTGATATCTATAGTCGGCCTGCAAAATTTGGGCTACCGATATCCATGCTGAAAATTCCATACTTGTACCAAACATACAGTGTGGAATTAAGCTGTAATCCAAAAAAATTAAATGAATATAAACAACGCTAATTCCAAGACGGGAAAATTGTTGAAGGCAAAGACGGTTTTAGTTGGCAACACATACACATCGACACCCACATCGATCATTTGCGACAAGCCTCTGCAATGTCCTTGAAGACAGAAAAACAAGCTAAGAATTTGTTGAAGAAACGGTGTACAGCAGATATGGGCGCAATCTTATCACCCTTACTTAGCCCAACGGTCAGGCAGAAAGGTTGATGGATACCTTCAACAGAGCAATATTAAAAACAAGGAGAGGAGCTATACTGAAAGTTACACAGCAGTTCCTGTTCGTTTAGGACATAAAGAAAGAATAATCTATTGATTGTCTACCTCGGTATTAACCGGACCACCGACCGGTCCATCTTCGTAAAGGCATATCCCGTAATCCTGAAATATTAGTAATAAATCAAATTTCTCGTTTAATTAACGGAACATCTTAATTTATCTGGATTAGTTACTATTGATAAAATAATGTGAACTATGTAGAATCGAAACCAATTCACAAATATCTTTTTGTTTCTCTCAATTTCAGGTGGTCGAAGTGTATATCAGATAACAAATACTGAAGATCTACGTTATGCACTCAAAGAACTATATAGGAAGTACATTAAAGATCATTGTGTTCGACTACATGTTACCCCATTGTCTCACTATCATGAATATGGGCCACCTCCTCCATATGAACAATGCTTTTCATAATGTGTAAAGTACTTGTTGTGTAGGATGCAGTAGTTTTTCAAGGAAAATTCATTTATCAGCAGTGAACATTTTGTAAATATAACATGTATCAACAAAGAATGAAGTAATTTGTCTTACATCATTTCATTCCGTTTTATCGCTTTACTTTTCTTCCTTGGTAATATGACGCCAACTAATAACAAGGCAGGACATTGCGTTTAGTAATTACTGTTCATCTAAGGCATCCTTATTCTGATTAATGGTTGGAAGCAGTCATTTGGATTATTAATTATAACCAAGATTTTTTCTGATCACCTCTTCCCAACAAGGCTTATCAATGAAGTAGATGGCATTAAACAGGCTCCAGACCCAAGTCACAACTGATAATACCGGTCTACATTAGTTGAAGTGGAATAAATACTGTACACTACTTGATCGTTGTGAAGTACTTCTTGCAAATACTTCAGCAATCCCTACTGCTGACTGGCTCACAGTTTGTCATTAAACTGTGAATTCGCTGATGGTATAAACTATTGTCTAATGTCTGCTATTGCTTAGTGATATCATAGATATCTTTGCCAACGGAAATAAGAACAAACAATTTGGCGAAGAAATTAATTTTTGGCGATTACTATCACTTTTATATACACTCAACTATTCTTCTCAAAAATTCCGTTCTGAGTAGTATATAGGACTTCAAACTGCAAAAACGGTGGTCTTGCCTTCATAGAATCAGATTCCTGGCCACACACGCAACCTTCCCTATTTCCAAAGCTTACTACCTAACAGCTAGACGATGTACAAGAGTGCATTGGATGGGAATCGAACCCAGACATCTTACGTAGTCTGTGAACATTTCACCACTGAAACACTGACGCATAATTCCGCAATTATATACAGCTATAATAGTTATGCAACAGTTATATACAGTAATTGGGTATAATTGTGTTTATATAGTAGTTTGAGTGAAATCATCCAAAAGAGTCTCTTCGCTGAACCATTCATTGGTATTTTCATGTCTAAAAGGGCATTTTTTTGTGTATCTTTGTCACTGAACAAAAACAGTTATATCAAATTGTATGTATGCACTGATAACGAAAGCAGAAATCCTAAATGTGATCAAGCTACTTAAGTCCCAAAAAGTAGCAGTACCAGACAATATCACCTCCTGCCCCCCTCTAAGCAATGAAAACGGACTGTGTCAGAGACTGTGGCAGATATTCTCACGCCATTACCGTACTGGATACAGAACTCCGCCACCCACTGAGACAAGCTGGCTGGATTCAGGAAAGGTAAGTTATGTTATGATCAAATTTCAACTGTCCGCATCTTCATCATAGAATAAAGCATAGAATGGGTGTCACTCCAGCACGAATCACCACCAACTTACCCATCTAGGAAGCCTCGGTTCAACTACACGCGGAACGTATACAGATGTCAAAGTGAGAATCGGAAAGGCAAGATATGCTTTCATCAACCTCAAGTCACTTTGGAAATCTTTACTCAGTGCAAAGAACGAAATTTGAATTTTCAACACAAATGTCCGTTTAGTTGGTTCTTGGCCAGCGCGTCTCAAAAAGCATTTCTAAAGGGCTTATGCAACCGTTTGTCAACAGCTGCCTCCATAATAAAGATCAAATGGCCAGCCGGCCAGACAGAAAGAACTAAAAACAAGAAACTATGGCTGAGAACAAACTAACCAAGAGTCGATTGCTCAACAATATGTAGGAAAAAATAAAAATGGATGAATTGGGCATACGTTGAGGAGGTTGTTGAATGACATCGCACGAGACCCTCGTGCGGTATCTCAATGGGAAGCCTACTCATTGTATGCACAATCCACTCATCCCCATTTTCTCCAACAAATTTGTTGGACAATCGGTTCCTGGTTGGTTTATTCCCATAGTTTCTTGTGAATTATCCTTTCTGGACATTCAATCTTCAGTATAAAGCCAGTGAAGGCAGCTCTGAATAAAAGTTTGCAACTTTCTCATGACTCACGTGTAGTACAAGTTTCTGACCCGTATAGAAGAACCAACTAAACTGAATTTATGTTGAAAATTCAAATTTCGTTCTTTGCACTGAGTGAAGATTTCCAAAGTGACTTCGGGTTGATGAAGGCATATCTTGCCTTTCCGATTCTGACTTTGACATCTGTATACGTTCCGCGTGTAGTTGAACCGAGGCTTCCTAGATGGGTAAGTTGGTGGTGATTCGTACTGGTTGTTGTTGCTGCTGTTGGTGGTGGTGGTTGGTTATCTTCGTCACCTCCATCTTCTGTATGTTCACCTGCAGTCCTGTCTTCTCTACCTATTACATCCACCCACTAACCATAATTCACTGTCAGTGTCATTATTATTGTTATTATTATTATTACTCCCTTGGGTTCTTATCGGAACACAGGGCTTCACCAACACATCCTCTTCTCTTCATCCTTTTTAAATGGCTACACGACTGTCCATAAGCTTCCACTCGCACCGAACGCGATCTTCTTCAAGTCACCACTGGACACCCAACTCATTGTATCTCATTCAGATTCTACTCGAGACCTTGGCGTGTGCTTTTACTCATTTCTACTGAACGATAGTTTGTAGTCTGATTTGTTATCAAACTTCCTTTGCTGCTTACCTCCTCTAATCTTTGGTATGCAACAAAGGCAGGTATTGATGAAAGTCTTCAGCCACCTGTTGTAAGTGCTTTTCACGATGCTCTCTAAGTCTCTGAATCATTCGGAAGATATGGCTGACTTGGTATTAGGACTGATGATCCAAATTTCGTTTCAAATGCAGAGTGCAGCACTGTCATTGACCATCACAAGCACTTTTATTCCAGGCTTATTTATTTATAATCTAAACAGGTTTCTTTAATTCTATTTCCTCATTTCACAGACGTTTAGTTTGAAATCCCTTTTTGGGGGTAACTATAAAAAGTATGTATCTTGCATTTAACTAATTCAAAAATTAATTCCATTTTCATAGAATGTATCTTCAGCTTCGCAAGTGTTATTAAATATTGCGTAAGTCAGTTTTTTCATAACACACACTGATACAGTTTTTGATGTAGATGTATTCTCTGAGCTAGCGGCATGGTTTATTTACGAAGCCTTCATTGCCCCCTACTAGGCAATATCTTCAGCACACACTTCACATTGATGAAGTGAACTTTTATTACTCGTCCTTCATGACAGCCACGAACTTCTTTGGTTGTTTCTGTGTGCTTCCATACCCTATAGGCTACTTGTAATGGTTGGTGCTGATTGTTTCCTTGACTTGAAGTTTGACTCTGCGGGCGAAGTCTCCTTCTTATCGATTGGTAAATATTGTCTATGTCAATGTGTCTATTGATTGACGGTTCACTGGAATAACAGACAGGCTTCTTTAAATTCTCTGACATTCATGGTATTTCCTCTGTCTAATATTTGAACTTTGTCCCAGTCGAACTGATGTCTGTGATTGTCTGTATGCAGTTATACTGTGCCAGTAACTCGAAAATGCTTCGATCACAAGAGTATAGTGTATAATCATATCAATGTATTTAATAGACAAAAGACATGTAGTTCAGCGAAGAGTCTCTTTCCGGCGAATTCATTTTCATAGCTGTACAATCGCAAATATATATGGTTATTTTGCGTGTGTGTGTATATACATTAAATTTGTTAAACGAAAATACAATTAGTAAGTTCAGATGAATTGGATGTTAATATAAGAGGATAATAACAAAGTGATGAGTTGTCATAAATGAATGTTAAATAAGAGTTACTTGGTGCCATGATTAGTCTGATGAAAGAGTTGTGCTCAGGGTGTACATGGAAACAAAATAATATACAGAATAACAAAAGGGTTTTAAGTTAGAAAAAATAAACATACAAACAATAGCAAGGTCAAATCAAACAAACGAACAAAGTTACGTCAAATCAACGGAGTTGTTACCACGAGAGTAGAAGTGGTTGGATAATTTTCTTTTGTATGCATAGTTCTGGTTCCACCAACTGAATGGCTAGTGCTCCTGCGATGCAAAAAAGACGGAATCGTACTGTCTTTGGAAGGTTGTTCTTCACTTTGTAGGTTACCTTGCAGCAGGCGTTTGTTGAGATGGAATGACCAGTGTTGACGAGATGTTTGATTATTGCACTCCCTATACGGCCATTACTTCCTTTCTGCAGCCACGCTGGATAGTGTCCTTTGACCTTTTTGACAGGATGAGTGTTGAACGATCAATGTACCTGGCTCCACAGCAATAGGTAAACCGATATATACACATAGAAGTGGTCATGTGCGGAATCTTGTCCTTTGGGCTTCTGCAGATCAGCGGGCGACTGAAGAACACTACTCTTAATGTTGCCGCAGGGAAAGTTCTTTCTAAAGAGGTGGAAATTCTCCTTCTGAGGACGTCATTAAGTAGGTCTCCTTTGAAGTCCAGGTTCACATAAAGTATCTTTTTAGGCACGGATGGTGTCTCTTGGTTTTGGATTTTTTGTTTGATGTTTTTGTCTACGAATCCTGATGGGTAGCCATTTTGTATGAAGATTTCTCTCAGGAAGTTTAGTTCTTCTTCCATGGTGTCATAGCTGCAGATGCGTCTGATGCGAGTGGCAAGGGATTTAATTAGGTTTCTTTACCGACTGACTGGTACCCAGCTGTAGAAGCTTGTCAATTGGCCGTTCCATATAGGTTTCCTATGGATGGACCTTCTTAAAGTTCCGTCAATGTATTTACACATATTCTTAACTTGCTCTTTGTAACCCTGATCAAACAGTTTTATACCAGCTATTATCGAGGAAATTTTAAAAGAAAGCGTCTGAAATTTCTCTTACTATTTTGGTGTTATACGAATCACGAAAATTGCAATTATGAAATATTTTTCAAACTACCTTAACTACTGTAAGCAATTAAAGTAGTGTAAGTAAACAGACCTTAGTGATGCCCTCCAACTTATCTCAAAGTTCATTGGCATCACAGTTTATTCAAATAAAGCGTGTTATTCTACATCCTACCTTTAATTTTGTACAGAGTATAAGCATACGATGTGAATATTGTATATAAAGCTTTGATTATTCCATTCAGTTTTCCTCTGTTATACGACTGGTAGTGACTAGAAGTGGGTTCCACGGTAAGTATTTCGTCCTATTTCAGACTCGTCTTCAGGATAAACTGCATTTCCAGTAAGTGACAGTGTATCAGATGAAACTGGAACCAGATACTTAAGGTGTAAACGTCTAGAGCTTATCTATTACGTTACGAGAACTGCCTTCATTGCAACAATTATCAGTTGTTGTTGTTGTTGTTATTAGATGGTTGGAGGCAATCGGCCACAGGAAGCCTTCGACCTAGGTTTAGTGCTTGTTGGCACTCACCAATCAGCAAGGCATATCTGCAATCCTGAAGGAATTCATGCCTCTTCTGGGATTAGAACGCGTGTCAACCAGTGAATGCTGCGGTCAGAGACATTACCGCTGAGCTATTCATGATCGCAGTTGACCTCCTGTAGGATTGATTGTATTAGATACCTTTGATTGGACACTAGTGCTTAGTGCCATGTGTCTAGTCCTTTTCTTTACTGCAGACTAAATTCTATCTGTCAGGTTTGCAGTGCGGCCTCCATCTTAAGCGGCTCGCCGCCACGGTACACTCAGGATTCTGGTTTTTCGATGGTTGGAGGCAAATGGCTGATAGAATTCAGCCTGCAGTTAACAAAAGGACCAGACGCATAACACTAGTTAGTGTCCAATCAAAAGGTGTCACCTGTTATTTACTGAAATTGTTACTTTGAACTACTCATTTATTGATTACACTGGAAAGAAATACTTGATCCCTGAAAGCCAACTGGCTTCTATCACAGGTGATTTGCTTATGTCTTGAGAAAAACTTGCCGTTATCTGGAGTTGATGGCTCTGACTTGCCTACCTGTATACTGTAGCTGACACTTAAATTAGATATCGCTTTATCCCAATTACTGTCTGAGATTTAATCGAAATCTTCAGCCAGTAAACACCACCCTGTTAAGTTATCTCAACATTTTTAAATTGCACTGAGCGCACTTGGTGTTGTACTGCAGTGAATATGATTGGATGCAGTCTGAGTACAAGACATTAAATTGCTATGTATTTAATGCAAAGTGTAGAATTTAGTGCGACTGCTCATTAACCAACCTACGGTCAACTAAATATATATATATACCCTATCTTCATGCGCAAGACAGGTTCACAAAATGCTTTGTGAAATAAGAAAGCTGAGTGACACCAGGATGATTAAGTAATTTGAACACCCATTTGTACACATTAGAATAAAAATCGGGTAAAGTCTGACGAATACTCTGTTGGGACAAACAAACTAATTGATTCAGTATTACTTTCATGGAAGAATTCATATTTCTGTCACAAGTGATATATGACAATATGTGAGTGATTTGATAGTAGAAGTTCGTCTTTCACAAAAACGATGGGAATTTTCGGTCTTGATGATGCGAGGAAGTCGTTTAATGAAAATGTGAAACAGCGATTTAGATACTAAAGTATTTGACCTAACGGTCTACACGCTGCTTTTGTTTATGGATGTGTGATTGATTTGGAGGAGAATTAGGCTGTTAACTGTTGTCAGAAATAGAAAATAGAACAAGTTTTTAGTGTTTTTATGCTCTCTTAAATTCGTTTAATAGTCCTTCTAGGCAGTAACTTCAATGTTTACTTCAAGATGAAATGGTCTTTCAGAATCCTCCATGAATGCAACATCCGTCGTAGACTGATGGCCATTTAAATGACTGGCTGCCTCCGGTGATTTTCTCATCTTTATGTCTACGTTCATTGGTACTGAGTATTCTGCTGATCTGTTTGTCCACATGATTTCATACTGACTGGTTGATAAATTTGATCTCTATCAGTATGTCTGTTGAGTGTATATATTCACCTGAGTATGGAGCTTCTAGGAATTAATTCACATTCTTGGTATTTCCTTTGCCTAGGCTTGGTATCGTTTCTTAGTTGAAGTGATGGCCACAGCTGTCTATATGTACTGATATAAAGGAATGATCATCCCACCTTTTGGTGACTAATTTATGTTCGCGGATATATAGATTTTGCTAATTTATTTGTAGATGACATCTGTTCTAATACGTTTGCGTACTCTAACAGTGACTTCAAAGATATTCTTCACATACTATGGGACAATTTTCTCTGTAGTTTTCAGAAAGGAACTTTTTGTGAATGTAACCTTGAGGATATACATCCTTGAATGAAGTTGCATGGAGAACTGCTTCTTTTCGGAAGACGACCAGATGATGCCCCTGTTTAATTTTCATAAGAGAAGAGTTTTGCAATGACACCCGGGTCTTTTAAATAATTTGATGTATAGAATCTTTCTGCCTGAGGTTGAACTGTTGTATTTGCACAGTAATTATCAGTTCAAGTAGATCAAGTGGTAATTTTATGACAGCAACAATGTAACAGTCGAATTTGTGTACAGAGAACAAAATAATCTTCGTCGATTACCAGTCACTTTCAGGTAAATTGAAAGAGATGATTGTTACATTCATGGAGTATTCTAATATCCCATTTCATCTTGAAGTTAGTGATAAAGATGATGTCTGGAGAGCCTCGCAATTATAAACCATTCAGCTTAGAGAATGCACTTATATCGTGTATTAGAAATCGCGAATTTTTAAGAAATTATCTATAGAAAAAGGAGCTCGATTCTTCTCAAGATTGCTGAAGCAGTTTCTATCAAACGCTTGAAACCAGATTAATGTGTTCAGTCTTTCCTTGCTCACCTAGTAACTGTATGCTTTTATTTTCTCATTTTATTAAGTAATCTTTAGCTTTAACCTCACCTTATTTTATAATCTGTAGTTCTGCTTGTCTCTTGTTTCTGTGATTTGAGTTGGACTCAGTGCAACTTATAAGTCACTCAGCAACTTACACATCTCTCGTCTTTATTACATAACTCCTTTACCATTGTATGCATCCATCTATTTTGTTTAAACTTGAACCACTTATGTACAAACTCTATAAGCGTAATTTTCACTAATTGTGGAACCTTCTGTCAACTGACATCATGAAACATTTGCAAGCTGTAAGCAGCTGATGAGAAGCCTGCGAAATAAGCAATGATGATATCATATTATTCTGCAAAAACCACTGTTGTTCTTGCTTTATTCAAATTCATCAAGGAGAATAAATGCATGAGAAAAAATCACTTAAATTAAAAATCTCCTGCCTCATTCCTAAAATTTGTTCTATTAAACGTGTTTAACAGGAGATTACATTTTTCAAACTTCTGCAAGACGACTTAGGTATATACTGGGCCTTAATATACCCTTTATTATTTTAAGTTTGATCAAGGATCGATGTCAATTAGAGAAATACTAAAAACTACTCAAGAGGAACTGGGCAGTTGTTTCACCCCTATTTTGATACTCTCCATCAGCAGGAACCCATAATCCCATTAGGGAATGAACACACAGTCAGAACCCAGTGGTCTAAGAATTCCATTTCAATTGTTGGCACATTCTCAGATCAGATAGTTAGACGAGTTGTCTTAGCAACTAGACTGCAGGATTCCTAACAAACTGAGAGAGATTTATTTAATTCAATTTAAGATTTTCCTATCGAGCCTCGATGGGAACACTATCACTCACTGCGGAATTCAGGCGCATCCAGATGACGAGTCCTAAGTAGGGCGAAATGCGTGTTATCTTGGATTCCACTGCTAGTCATCATCCGCCACTTAACTCAGACAGAATTTGAGGAACTAAACGGTAGGAACCATTACAGAACTTCATCAAAATACTGCTTATCAGACTCCTAAAATATGAAATGAATGGCATCAGAATTTCAAAAATGTGAAATAAAATAACCTTTAGGATGCTAAAATAATAATTTTAATCCTGAAGCTAAATTATGAAAATGATTGACAATATAAGTTAACATCAGACAACAATTTCATACACTCTTTTTTTTAAAGTTAAAATCAAAATCAAACAAGGTAGAGAAATTTGAAGCCTAGGTTATACATATATTGAACAGTTCACATACGTACTTGTTGGCTGCATTCTATTATGGTGTACAATTCATTAAACCCTTTGTAATTTTCAAAAGTACACTGAGGAGAAATGTACATCATTTCGTGTAGTAAATGATGGAACTGAGAGTCAAGCACTTGGTGCATACATGACAAATGTTTATAGGTAGATAGATTGACAGATATCTGTGAGCAAGTATAGCTTACTGCAAATGGATCTGCAATTGTTTGTTTGCTTTCTCTGTGTGTAATAAAGTAATCTAATAAGCCAAGTTAAACAAGTCCTAAATATGAATTGTATTGATAGGATTTTGTAACTAACCACTAAGGACTGTCATCTCTTATTACAGAAGAGTTTTGCTGTGATGCCTTCTTTCTCTGTAGACTTGACTTGTGACGATTTGATGACTGTTGACTAATTGCTTCCAAATAACACGGTAGATATTCACCTAAAAATTGCGGATCTTGATTTGATTTTTTTGCATGCCTTTCTGGTTGATACACTGTTGGCAATGCTTTGACATGAATATGTACACAATTATCATCCATCCCGCGTATTTGCATGAGTTCAACAGCTTTACGTAAATCTTGGGTGTTTGTTAGGACACAGTGATGAAAACCATCTGTAAGGGGGAGGAAAATGAAGTTTGTTAGACTGGTGGTATAGATAGAAAAGAGGTCAACTAGTCGATGAAATCAAGATAACTTTTTATTAAATAATTTATAGATCCAAAATACTTTAGAGTAGAATACAAAATATCAGAGGATTGCTTAAATGTTTGGGCAAACCGATTTTCTTTCCTGCATAGAACATTACATTTTACTTCATATTGTGTTGCCTTAACCAACCTGTTATGTAGCTGAAATGCAGTCTGTAATCACACACACATGTTTAAATAATCCTTGACCAAATACTACCCTGGAATTTCGAAAGAAGAAAACTGATACATTAATGAGTACATAGAGTAAATATTTTGACGGACAACACGATAAGAATTTTTGTCCAACACATTGGTGGTTCTGTAGAAGAATTCTCGTCAACCATACAGGTCGTCAGAGTTTTATACCCGACAGATGCAATCAATGCTAAAGCTCTCCAAGCCTGTGATACGCGCGGAAGACAAGGAAGGCCAGTTATAAGGCTAGCGATTCCACCCTGTAAACTCAACACTGCCGATTCCGAAATCATTAATCTAGGACAAAATGTATATTTCTTCCTTAGAGTTCTGACCGATCATTAGAAACGAGGACAAATGTACGTTCAACTCATTCTGAGTGACAAATTACCTAGTTTGCTTGAATGAATAGCGTTTAGTTAATTCTAAATTATCTTCACTTGAACAGGCAATGTGGCTGCTTAATATGTTCTTATTCCTAAAGACTGAAAATTTCAGAGAATAATAACTATCCTCTGAAATACAGGAGTAATCAATTGATGACTAACAGTGGAATCTAGAGTGCAAATTTCCTCCTATCACTCACTCACCAGCTGAATGTTCCTTGATTCCCCTTCAAAAGGTGTGCATCGTGAAGTAATTCAGAAATTACTTCAACACCACGTAGTGCAACAAATTCCTATCAGCCTGATTCAACAGATCTATGAAAATGCCACGTGTCAGGTGGTTCACAACGCAAAGCTCAGAGATGCCTTTACATTGAATACAGGAGTAAGACAAGGCTGCCTATTATCACCAGTGATATTCTTAACTATGGTGGATTGGATTATGCGTAAGACTGTGGGTAGGGAGAAGACAGAAATACGTTTGACCAAAAGATCTTGAATTCGAGGACAATTTATGTCTAATGACACACAAACTTGAATATTTACAGGGTAAAACCAACAAGTTGGCAGAACTGGCGGCAAACACATGGTCTCAAGTGAACATAGAGAGCAAAAACGGCCAATGCAAGTCAAGGGTCAAACGAATAAATATGAATGAGGTCATTACCGTTACTTATCTATGAATCATCGTTTCACTTACAGGCGGAACGGATGAAGATGTCAAGCGCAGAATTGGGAAGACAAGGTACACCTTCATCATTCTGAGAGACGTTTACCAATCTTCTGCACTTTGCCACAGCTTAGAAAACAAGACTTGGATTTGCGACACCAATGTCAAGTCAGTGCTTCTATATGGGTCACAAACTTGACGCATTGCAGAAAAGATTTTGAATAACCAGATGGAGACTTTTATAAACCGGTGTCTTCGCTTCCTCCACACTGAGGATCAAATAGCCAAAAAGAATTAGCAACAATAGACTATTACGACAAACCAGCCTTGTCTCTTGAAGGTCCTGGGTTTGTTTTGTAGTAGAGCAATAGCTACCTACTTCTGAACTTCAGCCCCAAACTACGATCAAACACCTTTTTAGAACTCCTGGATTTCTAGTGATTATCCAATCTACATGAAACCGTAATTGAAATTTTGGACAGTGAGATATTCAAATCGTTTCATCAGAGCAGTTGAATTTCGTCAATGGTGAAGAAAGGTACAAGGTAACAGAATCTATAACTACATAAAAAATGAATAAATTTAATTAATTTAAACCTCGATTTTCATGATGCCATATATATGCAAGTGAAAAGCAACAAGTTGTCAGAAGAAGCACCAAGGATAGGACTTCAGGTGAAAATAGAGAAAACAGAGGTGGCGAAGATTCTTGGCCAACAGCAACAGACAATAATCAGCATAAGTAGGAGAAGTTTGAAAGAAGCATCGTTTCAACTGCAGGCCAACGGAACTGACGAGGATATCAAAGCCAGAATCGGAAACGCAAGGCAAACTTTTATTACTCTCATTTCTATGTGGAGGTCATCAGTGCTCAGCATAAAAATTAAAATGAGATCCGGATTTTCAACTCCAAAGTCAAGTCAGTGCTACTTTATGGATCAGAGACTTGGCCAGCACGTCATGCAGGGCACTTCGTACAAAATACAAACCTTCATCAACAGCTGTCCTCGCTCAATACTACTCTACATCAGATGGCCGACCGGAAAACCCCAGCAACGGGGAGGGATCTCTGGGAGCGAACGAACCAACCCAGCAGGAACCAATTGTACAAAAAATATACTGGAAGAAATGGAGGTGGATCGGTCATACTCTAAAAAAACAAACCACCATCAAGTGATATCACGAGATAGTCCTTTAAGTGGAACCCGAAGAAGAAGAGGCGACTTGGTCGACAGAGCGAAGGTGACATGGGGGAGATGATATCAAGAGGAGATAAAAGCATGTGAGTAGACGTGCAGTCAGGTGAAAACGTCGGCAGGGAACCGAACACAATAAAGGCGTGCGACTGAAGCTCTATGTTCCTCTAAGAACTAAAAGAAACAACAATAATAGTAAAAACTATTGATTGATTGATCGATCAATGTGAGCAATTTGATAGTAAATACTCACACCGACCAGTAGTTTTTGTTGACCGGATCTAAATGATCCTAACACCACACACCCATTCCACATGTTTGAGAGTATACTCATCGACAGTATGCCTTGTTAAACTCAGCTCAATGAGCCGAATCAGTAAAGACCATCTGAATTATAGCCCGCTACATCAGATTTACCTTTTTTTACAATCTACACAGAGCCTTTAAAGACGCCTTTGTTACAAACAAAACTGTGTAATTGAAATGGTTCATTGCCTTTATTATCAACTGTGCACTTTAAATTATCGTGGAATTAATTTTTATCAAACTATCTTAAGAAATAATTCACTTTAACGTTACAGATCAAAGACTATTAAGTCCATTGTTTAATTTTAAAGTAACTAAGCAACACTGATTGTACAAAAGTAAATCTGCATAAATTAAATCATGATTATACTATAGGTCAGAGATGTTTTAGTAAAGTTTTCAATTCCTAAGAATTAATACAGGCTAATTTTAAGTAGTTGAAAAAAACCAAACAAACACTAGTACTCCTAATCAAAATATTCTAGGTTGAACTGATGAATGTTACTTTTCACTTTACATACTTTAAATCTTCCACATATCCAGGATGTGCATTTCATCCTATTTTGGACTCATCATTTGGAAGTACCTGTATTTCCCAGTCAGTGATAATGTTCCCACCGAGGACGAAATGCGCGTTATCCTGGATTCCACTGCTAGTCACAATCCACCAATTAAATTCTAATTACATGCCCAGACATCGTCGAAGTGTCTACACAAACAGCCGACATGTCAATCTGAAACCGAACATTTCGCTCCAATCAATCGAAGGGAAAATCTTAAATTCAATTATATAATTCCAAATATCCATTAATGTTGTAAATTTATGTGCAGTTTGATCATTTGAAAATATTAGAAATACGGTTGCAGAGAAGAAAATTTTGCTTTTCTATGAAGTCATCAACTAAACAACTGCACATTCGTGTATTTATATTACATGTGTAAGAGAGTTCCAGAATTATTTCTAGCCAGAGGTCAGATAAATAAAATTACTAAGTGTAATAAACAGAAGATAGACAGGTAGTGGCACCATTCTAAAAATATTTCAGGCCACATGTTAAACTATAAAATTCCAATGTGTAATAATCAGGAAGATCTGGTAGAAAATACCAAATAGACAAAAAATCACTAGAAAGCTAGTCAGTTTGTATAATTACGCGTTAAGGATGTAGTATCACCGAAATGGGTGGGAAGTTCGAACATATAAAAATAAAAACATTAATCAAATCTAATAATGCAAGTGAAAAGCAACAAGTTGTCAGAAGAAGCACCAAGGATAGGACTTTTTTTTAATTTTTTTATTTTTTTTATTTTTGATTACAGCTTGATTCCACACTGTATTTTCGGTACAAGTATGGAATTTTCAGCGTGGATATCGGTAGCCCAAATTTTGAAGGCCGACCATAGATATCAGGTGTGCGTCGGCGAAGGCTCGAACCTCGGACCATGTGCATGGTCGGCAAGAGTCCTAACCACTGTGCCACGACTTCAGGTGAACATAGATAAAACAGAGGTGACGAAGATTCTTGGCCAACAGCAACAGACAATAATCAGCATAAATGGGAGAAATTTGAATGAAGCATCGTTTCAACTACAGGCGGATGGAACTGACGAGGATATCAAAGCCAGAATCAGAGAAGCAAGACAAGCTTTCATTGCTCTTAAGTCTGTGTGGCAGTCAACAGCACTCAGCATCAAAAATAAGATCTGGATTTTCAACTCCAATATGAAGTCAGTCAGTGCTACTATACGGATCACAGACTTGGCCAGCGCGTCATAAAGAGCATCTCAAACAAACCAGAGACCTTCATTGACAGTTGTCTTTGCTCAGTACTCAAGATCAGATGGATAGAAAAGATCAGTAACAAAGATCTCTGGAAGTGAACCAACCATAAACCGATTGTGAAACAAATAGGCAGGAAGAAATGGAGATGAATTGGCTGGCCATACTTTGAGGAAACCATCAAGTGACATCACTAGACAAGCCATTGCTCGAGTGGAACCTGAAATGGAGGCGGCGAGTTGGTCGTCCAAGGGTGACTTGGAGGAGGTCATGCGAAGAGGAGATGAAAGCATGTGGACAGACCTGGAGCGAGGTGAAAAATTTGTCAGAAAACAGAAGGCAATAGAGGTGCGCAGCTGAAGCCGTTTGTTGCTTTAGGAACTAAAGGA